CTACGGCACGGTCAGTGAGGAGGTCATCGCAGTAACAGAGGCCCGTGCCTCCGAAACAGAAGGGCTCAGGAGTCACCTGGTACCCTGATAAAATGCAGATTCCAGTCGGACAGGTGGGGCCTGAGACGCAGACGACTCTGATGCCGCTGGTCTGCGAGACCTGTGTAGCGAGAATCCAGAGTACAGCCCATAACAGGCCTCCCAAAAATCTACCCAGAAGAAGCGATTTTGCAGGCGCTTCGGGGGGGTCACGCGGGCGAGCACTCCAGGTTGGGGGAGTCCTTTGTGCTCGGCATTGCTCCTGAAACGAGCTGACGAGAACTACTTACCACCGTGTTCTACAGAACTATGATATCAACCCTTCATGGCCTCTTCTAAAGTCTGAGTGGGAAACCGCCCTACGCGGGAAGATGTGAAACCAGGGGTTGTGGCCTGAATTCAGACAAGATAACTCCAGGGAATTCAGAAGCTACCCGTAAACGTTGGAAAGTCTGTCCAGTAGGAGGCTGGACAGTGGAATTTACGGGGACGCACTTTCAGCTCTGTGGGTAGAAGAGACGACCTTTTACACAAACGGCACCGTCGGGAGAACCCAACGAAGTGGCCCAACAAAGAGAAGCAGCTCAGAGGAGCTGGGCGTGCTGATGAGCAGCTCTGGTGAAAGCTGGCAGAGGTAGGGCCCTCCCCTCCCTGATTCTAATGGTCTGGGAGTCTGGCCCCCTTTGCATGGAGAAGACAGGTCAGGTCCCGAAAAGGGCTGAGGCGCTCGGTGGTTGCTGCCACGAGCAGCAACCAGGGAGTGGACCGAGCTGGACCACCAGGGCATAGAATTCTAGGTTCTATAAATCAAAATATGCATATTTTTTAATTACGAAAATAAATCGACAGTAGCCAACTTTTTATTTTGCTATGTAAGGACGTGAACACATGCCCCCACAGAGTAATCTATCTACGGATGCCTTTTCATAAAATAAGAACATTTCAATACCTCACCCAGCCCCCAACAAAAAACCCCAAGAGCTTAATCTCAAAATGAAGTCCTTTAAGTTAACTTTAGCATCGCTTAAACCTGCTAACTTCGTACTTATTTTTCTCATTATCTGTTCACTTACGATCCACAGGGCTAAGTGACCTAAACATACTTCATGTAATACTCTGATTCTTTGACTTATCAAAGGCCAATTTCACATAAAAAACATTGGCCCCATTCTGTGGATTCAAAGGGTGTCTTTGGTAAGAATGAGGCTCTGAGCTCCCCAGTGGGATCCCAGGCAAGCTCTGGAACGCGGCCACACTGGCTGTCATTCTTGTGCAGAAACTCGTCTCCACCAGCCTCCACCCGGACAGGCTGGAGCCTGCTCAGATCTGAAATCTACGCGGCTGATGCTTAGAATATCCTCCTGATGTACTTTCTTAAAACTGGAAACAAGCTGCTGGCAGTGCAGAAACAGCATGCGTGAACATGCATTCAAATTTAACTTTGCATTTTATTTACATGTGAAATTTGAATGACCATTTCAATGTTTAAATCTAGATTTTCTTTTCCTGTTTTGAGAAGTATACATCACGATTTTTTAAAAATTCAAAAAGTATCTGTTAAGCTGGGTATTTATTTAGCTGTTAGCTATCACGTAAAATAACATATTCCGTGTATAAGTTGGTTCATTTATGAGGAAAAATGATGAGACATAGTAACCTGAAATTCTTTAAAAAAAAACGTTAATAACAGTGCAAAAAATACTATTCTTCTCTTTACATAATTCTAAGGAATTACTGACCTTTACAGAAAACTTCCATATTATTTAGTATTATTGCCAGTATTTGGCACAGTAGGAATAATCTGCATCTTTAATACCAAATAAACATACTGGTGTTACGAATATCAACTAACAAAAGAGAGGGTCAAGAGCTTCGTAATAAAAAGTAAGTTTTCTTAATGGTTACAATGGTAAATCACAATGTTTATATTCTAGACATATCAAGAAGTTTTAAAAAGTGCATGTACACACTCAGTTCTCTCTATTGAGACATCATTTTAATCAGAGCCATCAAATACCCCTTGTTGTGCCTGCACATACGTGGGCGTGTGTGTAAACTGCTTGTGCCTTTCAGATAAAGTATGAGGCCTGTAAACACTGATTTCGGCAAGGCCTTTCTGGGGCTCTGAAGCTCTCTGGAGCCCAGAGATGCCTAGATAATGGCCTGCAGTGTAGGAATTCACACTTCCACACTGGGTTGAGCTCGCCAACGGTCCGTAGTGGAGACAGAGCAGAAATGTAGGGACACCCACCTCATCTCTGACACCAAGGGCCTGAGTGGCCTCTCCTGTGGGTTCCCACCTCTTTTCTTCTCCCCAGGGCCACCGGCAACGGACGATCCTGGATTCATGATTCGACCCTAGGTCTTGAGCAAAAGCCACATCTAACACATGATTGGCACTTAATTGTCTTTGCAAAGGTCACAGGAATAACTCAATCGGGATGTTAAGGCCACGGCTGTTTATGAAGAGCGGTCTTGCTGCGTCACAAAGCTAGTGATAGATTTTTCAAGACTCCCTTCCTTGGAAAACGGAACTTTTCAGAAGGCCGATTTCTACATAAAATTAAAACATAAACTATACACAGGATCAGTGTTTTCTTTACAATTAAAAAAATTAATGCTTTAGACTTCTATCTAATTAAAAAACTAAAGTGAGAAACACAATGTGCTTGCTCTCTTGCATGTTCAAAGCATGGTGTCAGTCTGAGTTGGAAGAGCCACGCCCTAGGCAGGTGAGCTCATCCTGCAAGTCAAGAAAAATAAAACCTGCATTGTGTGTGTTTCACAAGCGGGCTGCCGTCCCAGCCCAGCCCTGCAGGCCAGATCCCGTCCAGCCGCACGGGCGGCTCTGCCAGCACCTCTCCCGCCCAAGCTAACCGCCCACTTCACAGGCAGGACTGCTGAGCGTTCTTTGGGTCTGTGTTGGTCTTTGGAGTGAGGCATGATGATCAAAGTCTGTTGAAAAACACACCTGTCCGAGCAGACCTAAGTCCCTACAGGAGACTGAGCTCGAATGCATCTTAACTAGAAGGTACGGATATAGTATTTCAAAGAAATCGATTCCCTTTAAAAACTAAAAGACTTGGGATAATACAGACCCTTGCAGGCCAGCTGTTTGTGTTTTAAGAGGAAAAGCACAGACCTTCAGGAAAGCAGGAATTCCGTTCAGTCTTTACATTTTCTTACCCGCTAACGAGGACCATGCCTCCTTTGGGGGAGAGTTCACCGTGGGAACTTCCAAACAATTCCACCCTAGATAAGACACAGCAGGAGCCCAGACACACCGCCCCAGAAATAAACAGAGTCTGGTTGGAAGCCCAGGGCCACTTGGGGGAGGGGAGGAGTCGAGCCGGCGGTGCCAGCAGGGAGCGAGGAGAGGCGGGCGGCCTGCCCAGTTTAGACCGGCTCAGCTCGGTTGGCAAGGCCCCACTCTGTCGTACTGGGCTTTAAGCCCCTGATCAGGTCCGGCTTGGACCCCCTCTCCCGCGCGGCGCACGAGGCGGGAGAAACAGCCCAGCCGCGCGCCTCGCGGGGGCAGCGTGGCCCCCGCAGGACCCGCCCCGCCCCAGTGCCGGCTACCGACCGTCAGGGTCCCCCCGCTGGGAAATACTACTCCACCGCAAAATGCTACACCTGTCAACTCCGCTTCACCTGCTGGTGTAGACGATGTGCTTGCCGTTTAGATTTCAAATCAGATTAAAACAAAGTTTTCCAAACTGCAAGGCGGGCGTAGGCCAAAGGACGCCGGAGACAAAAGGTGACAAGGACGAGCTGCGGCTGGAGGTCCGCGGCACCCCTGGGGTCGGAGCTGCTCGGACCGCCACGGAAAGGGCTTCTCCAGGGGAAGAAGAGCTCCCCCCCCCCGCCACCCCGGTTCAGGTTAAAGGAACAGGACGCCGACTTAGGGGAGGCGCGCGTCTTAACACTTGTATTTGAATCCTAAGAACCGAGGAGGAGGCGGCGGAATGGGAAGAAATCCCAGGTCTCCAAGAAAATATACTTTGTGCATTATGTTTACTCCTAAACCCTTGTCCAGGGCTGAAACCGTCTTTCGCACGTACCCGCCAGACCCTCGGACAGAACAGCGCGGACGCCGCCGCCGTCTTCCTGTGCCGAGCCTGCCTGAGCACCCGGAGCTGCTACCGCTTTCTCGTCCTGCGGTCCGGTGCGGGAGCCCAAGCTCCGGACAGACTTTTTTGAATCACCCATCACCCCGACACTGTTCAGCCCCTCACACCGGCCGGCTTCCAAACGCCGCACGCTCCCAGGCCGGCGCACGCCCGACCGCAGCCCGGTGGCCTTCCCGGAGGCGGCGGCACTCACCGTACTCCATGAGGCTCTCGCAGCCCTGCCCGGGGGACCCAGAGCCGCCGCCCTCCTCCCAGCATCGCCACCACAGCGAGGACGTCTGTATGTGGGTGCTCGACTGCAGCCAGCCGCGGCCGGCCAGCGCGATGATGTCGAAGACGATGGCGCTGAGCAGCAGCAGGGGCAGGATCCACCTGCAGCGCTCGCAGGCCAGGCCGCAGCGCAGCATCTCGGCGCGGGGCTCGGAGGGGAGCGGGACGCGGAGAGGGGCGAGCAGGAGAGGAGCGGGGCGCGGGCTCGGAACCGAGAGGGGCTCCCGGAGGCGAGGAGACGGGCGCGGAGGAGAGTGGGGCGCACGGAGAGGGGCGCGGAGGAGAGTGGGGCGTGAGCGCAGCCGGCGCCACAAATGGGGAGGCGGCGGGGAGGCGGCGCCCGGAGGCCCCACCTCAAGTCGGTGACTCAGCGGCCGGGCGGGGCCAGGCGGGCCGGGCTCCGGTCGCTCGGGGCGGGGCGGGACTACCCCGCCCAGAGCGGACGACGGGGTGGGGCCCGGCCGGGGGCTGGGGGGCCTGGGGAGCCAGGGGATCTGGGGGCCGAGGGGGAGTCAGGGGTGGCGGGCGGGGAAATAGGGGGTCGGAGGGCTGAGTGGGCCATGGGGGGCCAGAGGGGTCGGGGAGACACGGGGAGGGGAGGAGACAGGACGGCGCGGTGGGGAGCCAAGTGCCCAGGGCTCTGGCCGCAGCCTCGCGCCCCCGCAGCCCCCTTTCCCTCCCCTTTGACCCTCGCACTCCGAAAGCTTTTCTTCTCGGCGCGTCCACGCGCGCAGAGTTTAATCCGCGCCCGCCCCTGGCGTCGGACAAGGGTCTGATTGGCGACAACGCCATGTTGAGGTCTCGAGCAGCTTGAGGTGGGCGTTCCAATTGGAGCCCGGCGGACGCCGCCCGGGGACTGACCGCGCCAAACCCGGGAGCCGGCAGGCGTGGGGGGTGGAGGGGCCCGCTGCACCTCTGCCCGCGGCCCCGCCCTGTGCCCGCCCTCGGCCGCGGGGGCGAGGTGGGTTCCTGTCTGCGCCCCAGTGTCCGGCGTGTGTCGGGACGTGGGGAGCGCGGTCGACACTGTGGGCGTGGACACCGCGCGCTGGACAAAGGCTCACTTCCTCCGCTTCCGGATGAGTCCATCCCCACCACAAATCTCCACTCTGCGTAGACCCCACTCGATCCACTCTTTTCGTGGACTCTTTTGAGGTTTCTCCAAATAAGAGCCGTGTGCCAGCATGCACCCGCGCCCAGAACCCCGCCTGCAGGCCCGGCCCCGCTTCCGGTGCCCGGGTGACCGCGCAGGTGGGCGGTGACTGCGCAGGTGCTGGCGGGGGGCGCCAGGGAGGAACCAGCTCTCGGGTCCACACCTCCGGAGCCTCCGGCAGATCCCACGAGGGTCACACCTTTCCTTACACCTCCAAAGGTTTCTTCTGGATCTCTTACTTCTTCCACTAATTTAGCACGAAAGAAACGGGAAGCACGCAGCGGCACGCACAGGCCAGCCTTCTCTATTTCGCGCTCTCGAGGGAAAGAGGAAAGGACTCTGCCTTGTGTCTCCGGCAAGTTTTGAGGACGAATAAGATAAAAGTACTGAGAAAGTTAGTATCTGGAACCACGTGAACTCATTCTACATGAACCACGTTCGGGTATTTTCGTCAGAGGCAAACACCTTCACGTTGCAAGAATACACAGGGGTGCCCGCCGAGTTCACCGCCTGCGGCACAGACTGCGAAGAAAATGCGCCCTCAGCTGGTCAAAGCAATGAAAATACGTGTTTAATTAGCTGAGATAACATATTTGTGAGAAAAAAAAACCCCACATTCTTACAGACCAAATAGAGTGCTGATCATAAGTGTTTTCAGACAAAATGAGCGCTTCACGGGTGTTCTCATATCTCTGCATAATTTTGGACTAGATATAATTTCTCGTTCCAGTGGGTTTGAGGAAAAGGGCTCATTGATGCTGAGGTGAAGGCAGAGAAAGGGCTCCGAATTTCTGGAAGAGACTCCAGCGCCCTGGTTGGGGTCCAGCGATGCCCACCCACGCAGGAGCCGCAGGCTGTGGAACCAGACGCCCGGTGCAGATGCTTCCTCACGCCGGCTGTGCGACACTGGGCCGCCCAACTTCGTGCCTCAGTTTCCTCACCCCATGGTGTTGTAATGACTATTAACAGAGCTGGGATGCTGCCTGCAGAGCGAGCCACAACGTGGGGGTTGAGGACGACGACGACGACGATTTTCACGCAGGTTTTCCACTTTAATAAGATTGGAAAGGGGCCCTTTCACGTTTGCAAGGGGCTAGTTCCATAGATGGGTATCAGCGTAAATCGTTGTCATCTTGGACACGCGCAGCTCGTCCAGCCTGGTCCTGAAATGAGGGTTATGGGGAGCAGACAGTTCCCCCTGCTGGGAAACGGAGGGATTGCAGGGCCCTTGGCAATGTGGATTGTACCTGAAAAGTTTTTATGTTTATGAATTTGGGGGGTTTATGGTTATAAAAGCAATGAATATTACAAACAAAAATACATAAATATATAATTTAATGATGAAAATTTGTAGTTACTTTGCTCTCCCATCTAGAGAAGGTCTAGTCACAACTGTGGTACCAGCTACCTGACGTTTGCGGGGAGTTCACCTCGAGCTGTCAGTGTGTCACGTCCATCTGATGAGGTGTGTGCCGCTGTCACCTCACTTGAACGAGAGAGGGAGCCTGCACATCACGGAGACCCTGGGGATGTGAGAGGGTTAGCGGGGCCCTGAAATAAGCTGTAGGCTTATGTCAGGCGGTTCTGGAGAGGGCTCGAGGAAGTGGGTGCTGGCGCTGAGTCATGTTGCATCAGGAAAGGCCACATCTTGTCTTGTGGTTGTGGTGTTTGTCTTCTCTGGGCTCAGCTACGGCTGTTCAGTGGTCTTGGTTTTGTCTCGCTCTGCCGTGATTACAGGTGGCTTGTCTGATGTGGATATTTGGTGGAACCCATTGTCTCAGCATCAGATCATCATGGCCTGGCGCCTGGTTGCCAGGCCAACCACCAGCTGTCAGGGATTTTTTTCCTTCTCTTAGGTTCTCCTTGAATCTCTCCATCCATCCTCCCCTTTATCCGTCTGGGGCTGGTCTTCCTCTGCCCTCTCACCCAGTGTTGGCATCCCCGGGGTTCTTTCCATGAACGATTCTTCTAGCCATTCTATACCTTTTCTTTCTGTTATGTCATCCTCTTTCATGATTTCAATCCATGCTATACCCTTGTGACTTGCTAATATGTACCTTTAGCCCATACTTTTCTATGCTTCAGAATGTTCTAGTCAACTTCCAGCACTTGGCACCACCTGGCTTCTCCCCCAAACACTTTGACCTCAGCCACTGCAGAATTCAAACTGCCTTCTTTTCTCCTGAACCATTGTCTTCTTTCTGCAGCCTCAGTCACACCTCCATCATCTCTGTCACCGAAATTAAAACTCCTCCGAGGTCGTCCTTAACACTTTCATGTCCAGTCTAAGCCCCGTAGCTGGAAGTTGTGCCCCCTGCTTTACCTCCCGTCTGTTCCTTCAGCACAGACTCTACCTCGCCCTGCCGCCCCGCCTGGCGCCGCTGCCACAGCTGCCTCCTGACCGCCCTCCCGTCTCCAGTTCTAGACGCTCCCTCCTGCAGAGATGCTGAAATGGTCCAGCCGCATGGGACCTGACCCTGGCAGTCTCCCTCACGCCCCCTCGCTGACCCTCCCCACCTCTGAGATCGAGCGGAGACCCCTAAAGCGACACACAGGTCCGCCCATGTGCTGCCCATCAGCTTCTCCAGTCCCATCCACCACCTCCACCCACCTCACACCGCTCAGCTGTCTCTTCTCTCTCACAGCACCTTTCCTAATGCAGGAGTGAGGTGACCGTTTGGTGACCACGTGGACGAATGAACGGCTGTCACAGCCACCTGTAGACCCGGCCTGTCTGCGCCTCAGTGTGCTCGTCTACTGTTGAAGTGGCTGGAAAATGGACTGTAAGAAAACTTATAGCTCTGAAATGCTATGAAAAAATAAAGGAAAACATTCTCAGAATCAAAATTGAAAAAATACGTACTTATTCAGAACAGCAGGTGGCTGTAGAACGTCGCTTTTCAGCGTAGCATTTGAAGACAAAATGGACCAAATCCCCGGGGAACACCAGCAGTCACAGAGTGTGATTTCCTAACGCTTCCGTGCTTAGTTGACAACACTGCGTCCGCCCTCTGGGTGCTCGGGGTTTGGGGAGGGTCCTGCCACGGAGTGATGGATGCTGACCCCGGGTCAGCGTGCCCAGGCGGCGGGGGCAGAGAGGAGGGTGGCCCTCGCCCTGGAACAGTCAGCACGATTACTCAGAGTGGGAGACAGGCTGTGTACAGCCCATCTGTGACCCAGCTCTAACCAAACCCCAGCTCTAACGCCTCCTGGGACCACGGTGGCAACATCCCAGCAGGGACTCGGTGACAGCCTTTCCGTGGAGGGAGCAACAGACACTTGTTTAAAGTTGCTCTTCCGAGGACTCCACCAAGTCACATCACAAATAATGTCTCCACATTCTGACAACCGACTGAGGGTTAGAGGCTGCTGTGCCCATCTTACAGAAGAAGAAACCTGAGACTGAGCGGTTAGGGGGAAGGTTAGAAGGAAGGGCTCCAAACTCCCGTCTGCTTGCTGCAGTGTCCATGCTCGGTCCACTCCGCCAGCCTGCTGCCGTGACCCCTGAGTGGAGCACGGCATTGGAACACACAAGCGCACGGAGTTGAGGAGGGCCCATGTAGACCTGTGCTACGCCTAGAGAATGGCCGCATCTCAGCATCAGTTCCAAGTCACCCGGTGATGGGAGAATGAAGTACTGAGCTCGAATAACGTCATCTGGACCCGAAAGTTTAATAAGAAGCAACACAGGCTGCATTCACTGAGCGCTTCACGGTGTGTGGCACTATTGTTGGGACACGGTGTGTATCACTGTCTTTATTCTCAGGGCAACCCTCTGGGGTTGGTGCGGTTATTACATCCACTTGCAGATGGGGCCCTGAGACACAGAGAGTGTAAACCACTTGTCCACGGTCACACAGCGGGTTGCTGTCAGAGCCAGAACAAAGCCTAGACCCAGCTTCTTGGTCTGAGGCCTCGGCGCCCGACCACTGTGCAAATGACGACAATGATAGCGATCACCCTCACACAGCCCTTCTCCAAGCCAGGCGTGTCTGAGCATGCAGGAGTTCTTCCTGCCCTCACGGCACCACGAGCAATGTGCAGCCGTGGCTTCTGCACTTCAGATGAGGAAACTGAGGCACAGAGAAGCTGAGTGCCTGTTCCCAGATGACACAGGTGGTGAGTGGCAGAGCTCCCCTGTCCTGCACAGGTCTCCCCGTCGTCCACAAACTGACCTCAGACACCTCCCAGGAAGGTCTGCACCCCTGCACATTCCCGCAGCATCCTCGTCACCTGCCAGGCCCCGTCTCTCTTGATTTCAGGAAATGTAACTGCCAAACAATGAATTGGATTGCCATACAGATGGAGATGAGAAGAGAATGTGCTTAAATATACGATGTTCTGCACCGTTTAGCACCTCTGTTGAGGAGGAACAGTCGTCCCCACGCTCGGGGAGCCTGCACGGGGCGGTGTCCCTGTTGTGTGGGGGCTCCCTCATGGCTGCTCCATCAGAGAACAGGACAGCTGCTGGCCCTGAGTCTCACAGGATGTCAGTGCAGCATGACGACGTCTTCAAGTCCACCTGACAAGCTTTCAGGTCCATTCTTCTGGAGATGCACCCGGCAGAAGGGGACAGTTCTTATCCACGAGTGTCTCGTTGTCACCATTTCCACTCCTCAGACTCAAAGGAAGATACCTCTTCTCTAAGTGAAGCAAAATCCCCAAGTGTTTTTCTCCTTCTAGTGTCCTGTACGTACACGTATGCACACAGCATATGAAATAAAAATGCTTTGCTTTAGTAAAACGGTGATAAATTTCTGGTTTGGGAAGTTTAATCAATTTATGAATGCATCATTTATTAAATTTATAGAAATATTTATCTCATATGATCTTGGCATATAGTTAGAGAATACTAGTGGGCTTAAGAAAAATAAAAATCATTGAAATCTCAAATGTAAAACAAATTCATTATGGATTTTTTTGGTGTTTACAAACCACCATATGAGTTATAAAATACTTTATAATCAATGCAGTAATTTGTGGTTTAATTATGGTTGTTTTATCTCAGGACCACTTTTTTACTTTTCAAATGATTTAAAGCAGCGTTTCTTTTAAAACAGCTGTGAGTTGATCCAGCAGCCGTCTGTTGGCTTTGTGGCTGCCAGGAAGGAATACAGCCCCACCTCCATCTCCTTTGCACTGACAATTTAAAGCGGGGGACAGCTCGCGCGGGAACACGCGGGAAGCAAGCGACATTAAAAGCCTTTACGACTAAGTGCGCAGTGGAGACGTCTGTGTGGACGCCCAGGAAGGAGAAGCGTGCGGCAGGCTGAGTGTTGGTTTCCTGTTGCCGTATTCCAAGTTACCACACACTTAGCGAGCTAAGACAGCACCCACTGTCGGCTCACAGACCTGTCGCCCCCAAGTCCAGGCAGGCTCAGGCTGCGCTTCAGACCGTTCTCCACTTAGGGTCTCCGAGTGGAGAAAGGGGGTGTCGGCCTGGTCAGACTGGGCTCCCCTGGAGTTCCCAGGAGGCCCCGCTTCCAGGCTCACTCCCGTGGTCAGGAGAAGCTGGTTCTTTGTGGTGGTGCAGCTGAGGTCCCCCTTCCCTGCTGGCACAGTGGCCCTCGCTCCTCCCTGGCCTCCATCCTCAGAGCCAGCAGTCGCACACTCAGACCCCCTCACACTGAACGCCTCTGCCCCCTCTGCTGCCAGCCGCAGAAACTCTCTGCCGTGATGGGCTGTGCGTGGAGCTGGACTTGGCATAGAGCATACGGGGCTGAGCTCAGAGTCAGGGGGAATGGTCCACAATGAGCCTCTGGCGAGGATGGAGATGTGCAGGAGTGACGAACAGCCTCTTGAGTGGGAGGGTCACCTTGGCTGCTATAGCTGCAGGTAGAGAATGTCCTTCAGCCGTCGAGGTCCACAGGTTGTTCTGGCGGATAATGGCAACCTGCCGTGAGCCCCTTCATCAAAATGCCTGCACATGCATCGAGTTTATGAATGCAGGAAAAAGCCACAGGAGTAGGCCTGCTGTAACCTCGCCAGACAAGACTCGCGTGCTTTACAGCCACTCGTCGCCCAAGGATGGGGACACATCCTGAGACGTGTCATTAGGCCATGTCGTCGTTGTGCAAATATCACAGAGTGTCCTTAAACAAACCTAGATGGTACAGCCTGCCACACACCTGGGCTCTACAGGACTCATCTTATGGGACCACTGTCCTGACTGACAAGTCGCTATGCAGCGCGTGACTGTCATGAAATCCAAACTCCCTCCTGAGCCCTAAAGGCCTGGCTAATCGTCCCAGCCCCACCTGGTGCCACATGCCTCCACCAGGCTCCTCCTGGCCTCCTCCCTGTCCTCCAACACCCAGGCCCTTGGCAGTCCCGAAGCCTCTGCCGTCACTGCTCCCTCTGCCAGGAGCACTCCTCCCTGAGCTCTGCTCATGCCCAGCACTCTCTCCTCCCTCAGCCTTCAGCACATTCTCCATTTTGATGAGACCGGGAGGTGTCAGGGCCCCCCACTCAGTCACTCTAACACATCACCTGTTCATTTCATTTAATGTCATCTGTGCATCGAGGGTCCCCAATCACGCTCAGACTCAGTGATGCGCTACAGGGAATCACAGGGCTCCAGTCGTTATCTTCATGGTAGTGGTTCATTGCAGTGAAAGAATGCAGATCAAAACCAGCAAAGAGAAGAGCTGCGTGGGTACCAGGAGCCACAGGGAGACGCCCTGCATTCTGCCAGCAATGCTGTGTGACAACACGTGTGACGTACTGCCAAGCAGTGATGTGCACTGAGTCTCAGTGCCCAGAGGTTTTACTGTGGATCAGGCCCATGGGCATGCAGTGCCCGTCACTGACCTGACTGCTCAGTTTACAGCCCCCCTGTCCCCAGTGGTCAGGCTGACACAGCAGGGCCCAGGGCCTCTGAGATCTGAAGCACCCCCTCCAGGCGGGACAGTCCCAGGCTCAGAGGTTATCTCCCAGGAGCTGGTCCAGGGCCAGCCCCCCAAAGACAGGCCTTTCTCTGGAACCTGCAGGGTGTGAACAGCCTGAGCCTGCTAAGCCAGCCCTTCAGTGCACAGCTGCAATGTCTTGTTTGTTGTTCACTGTTGTTGACTGAGCATCTCCCCCCGGAAGACGGTTCCGTGAAGGCAGAGGAGCATATCTGTGTCCTCCAGGGCAGCACACTCGGAAATCACCCAGTGCCTGGCACAGGCAGACACTCAGAAGATGTTTGCTGAAGGAGGAAATAAATGAATCAGTAAATGGCACATGTGAATAAGAATTTACAGTAAGTGACTCTTACCTTGGCTTCTTACAGGAATTTTGTCACACTATTCACCTCAAGTGCCTGGAAGAAAGTTATAAGACATAACATTTTCACAGAGAAAAAGTCTTCTAAAGTTATGTCTTTATTAGCATAAAATTCCAAGCATTCCTGCAAGAAATTTTTTAATTTCATAATTATTTGGCCTGGCATGAAAATCCTATCTAAATATGCCAGAAGTTTGAAAAATAATTTTGGCTTTGTAATGAATCTTGCTTTGTCACAGAGCCTGCCTTCCTCGAGTTATAGGAATAATCCTCCTACAATGTTTTCTGAGGCATTTACAGATTCCTTAACTCCCATCTCAGGGGCGTCTTAGTCTTTCGAACTTCCTGAGGTGGAAATACCTATTTATCTAATATCAATAATGAAACAAGTTTCCAACACAGAACATTTCTCCTTTGGGGGGTGCTGGGCTCTGCCCACTAATTGTAAATGCAGGACAACTCACAAACACAGAACACACAAAAATGAGTTAAAATCTCTGTTTCTGATTCTCTCATTAAAAAATGCTGCTAAGAAGTCGTGATTATTCATGGTTCAGGCACAAATTGTAAAGTGAACTGGTCACACACGGTGGAACCATTTATTTCCTGGACTAGAGATTTCCTGAAGCCAAGATGACTCTGGGGAGCGCTACACTGAAGAGCTGGGAGCGTCTTCAGCAATCAGGCACAGCAGAAAGTGAGTTATCTGAGAGATGATGCTCATAGCAGGACTGAGGAAACCCAGATAAATGGTGTCCCCTGCATTCACTTTGTGGGAATCTGTGGGTTTTTGTTTGTCTGTTTTTTGTGAGGAAGACTGGCCCTGAGCTAACACCCGTGCCCATCTTCCTCTATTTTATATGTGGGATGCTGCCACAGCATGGCTTGGCAAGCGGTGCTAGGTCTGTGCCCGGGATCCAAACCTGTGAACCCTGGGCCGCTGCAGCACAGTGAGTGAACTTAACCACTGTGCCACCGGGCCAGCCCTCTGTGGGAACCTGTGTTTTGAGATAAAAGAGATTGTTAGAAGAAAAGAGATTGAGATGTGAGGATGTGTACAAGCTCTATAGATTTGCATAATCGGGATAGTAATAAATCCTGCTGTGGACAATGAATTTTAGCCCCAGCTAAAGCCATAGTCTTTGGTAGGTGAGGGTCCCTTGCTTGGAAAATCATTGCTCTGCCCTGAGAAGTCAAGCACTGATGCGGCTGACTGCGCTAAGCCTGGACTCTGGCAATGTAGGATTCACCTGGCTGCTTATGAAGGTCACACCTGTCCCGGCCCCACCTCGAGAGGGTGCCTCTGCAGTAAGGTAGGCTGTGTACAGTTCATCCTCCAGGTGCCAGCAGGAAAGGTCCTGACAAACCAGGCCATGTGGTCATCAACAGCAGGGCTGGGTGTATACATACGCACAAGGACCCCGAGTGGTTCTTGTGAGGAGGGTGTGGGAATCCCCCTGAGGGAATCCCCTCTGTCCCCCGGGCCTGCAGCACCTGTAGGGAGACTCTCTGCCTGGAGGGAACCACCTGTGTGTGCAAGGAAGGCCTTCGGATGGCGTGACCAGGCCCTCTGCCGGGACTGAAAGGGTCCAGGACACGGGACTTGCAGTGCTAAACCAAGTTCTGGGCAAACAGGACGAGTTGGTCACTCTGTCAGGGGAACCAGGCACAGTAGCCTTTCCAGAGACTTAGGAATGGGAGACGTCAACAGGAGGAAAAGTGGGAAAGAGAACTGGGAACTCTCGCAGGAGTGCAATATTGCCTCCACCCAAAGGCATGAAGGCCCATGAGAAACCCTTCCCATCTGAGTGTGTGCATTGATTTCTGGGGCTGCCGTGACAAAGTACCACAAACTGGTGGCTTAAACTAACAGAAGTTTATTTTCTCACAGTCCTGGAGGCTAAAAGTCTGAAATCAAGGTGTTGGCAGGGCCATCAGAAGGCTCCAGGGAAGAGTTCCTCTTCGCCTCTTCCTGGCTACTGGCGGCTCCTGGCAATCCTTGACTTTGCTTGGCTTGTAGCTGCTTCACTGATCTCTGCACCCATGCCCCCTGACCTTCTTCCCTGGGCTGTGGGGAGTGTGTATGTCTCCAAACTTCCCTCTCCTTTCTCTTACAAAGACACCAGTCGTCAGATTTAGGGCCCACCAAAATCCAGTATGACCTCTTCTCAACTAACCACATCTGCAATGACTCTGTTTCCAACTAACTCACATTCTGAAGTTGCCAGTGGATGCGAATTGGGGACGGGGTCACTATTCAACCCAGCACAGCATATAAACTACATTAATGGAAAAAGAACCATTTTAAAAGATGGTTCCTACAGCCCCCTTTGTCTGGAGATCCCACCACGTGGTGTTCCTACTCAAAGAGGTTCACTCGCCTGCCCCGTGGTCCGGGTTTAGCATCTCCATCCCACACGTGCAAAGCCCTGAAAAGCCCAGGATGGCTCCCCATACAAAGATGTGGCAACTGGGTGACAGTGTCACTGCGATCGATGTTGAATCTCGTTTCGTGGCAACACCCGGCCCGCGCAGGTCCTCAAACAGGGACTGAGAAGAGTGTGCTGAACGAGAAACAACTGGGCCATGTTGTATATGTTTCGGAGTTTGAGAGGGAAAAATGGAATGGAACTGACATTTATTAAGCATTCGACTCTGGCAAGTCCTTCCCCTGCCTTATTTCATTTAGTCTTCACGGGAGC